GCACGTAAAACAGTGCCTGGCACAGAACACATGCTCAGTAAATAGTTAAGTGAATGAATGAAAAAGCCCTGAGGCAATGCGCCACGTAATCAAGGGAACCCCAGAAGTGGTTGGAAATGCTTTTCAGGAGCGCCTGGGTGGCTTAGTCGGTTAGGTGTCCAGCTTCCGCTCAGGTCATGATCTCACAGTTTGTGAGTTCGAGCCCCGCGTCAGGCTCTGTGTTGACTGCCAGCTCAGAGCCTGGAGCCTGTTTCAGATTCTGTACCTCCCTCTCTCTCTGACCCTCCCCTGCTCACACTCTCTCTCTCTCTCTCTCTCTCTCTCTCTCAGAAATAAATAAAACATTAAAAAAAAAAAGGAAATGCTTTTCAGTGTTAGGGCCTCAGTGTTGCAGGGTCAGGTAGGATCAGCTCTGCCTTGCATGGGGGACCCTCTGCCATATATGAGGACCCTCTCCCACCACATGCCTGCGCCCACACCTCCATTATAGCTGGAATTTTTATTCTTTTTTTAAATTAAGATTTAAAAGGCTCAGTCAGTTAGGCACTGGACTCTTCACTTCCACTCAGTTCATGATCTCACAGTTCTTGAGATTGAGCCTTGCATTGGGCTCTGTGCTGGCAGCATGGAGCCTGCTTGGGATTCTCTCTCCTTCTCACTCCACTCCTTCCCAGCTTGCCTGTGAGCTCTCTCTCAAAATAAATCAACATTTAAAAAAAGACTTTATTTTTAAGTAATCTCTACATCCAACACACGGCCTCAACTTACAACCCCAAGATCAAAAGTTGCAAGCTCCAGGGGTGCCTGGGTGGCTCAGCTGGTTAAGGGTCTGATTTCAGTTCAGGTCATGCTCTCCCAATACATGAGTTAGGGCCCTCACTGGCTCTGTGCTGACAGCTCAGAGCCTGGAGCCTGCTTTGGATTCTGTGTCTCTCTCTCTCTCTTTCTCTTTCTCAAAGATAAAAACATTTAAAAAAAAAATTTTTTTTTAAGTTGCAAGTTCCACCAACTGAGCCAGGCAGGTGCCCCTAGAGTTTTTATTCTTAATAATAAAAAGAGCTCATACCTGGGAATCAAGGAAACCTGGACCCCAAAACTCTGTCATTTATTGTCTATATATGGCCTTTACTCTTTACTCTCAATTTCCTCTTAAAAAAGAAAGCATAACACCTGTCATGGCTGTTGGTGGAAGAATGTAGGTAACTGACTCCACCCATGTGAAGGGTATGGCCAGTCATTGCCCAATATTGACTGCCGCCGTCACCGCCTCCACTGCCGGCACCAAAATGTCCAAGGCACTTCCTGGCACACAGCAGACTCCCGTGCAAGGTGCATGCCAGTCAAGGAGACTGCTCCGCCTCAGATTCCCTTCCGGTAGACCTTGCCCTCAGTCGCCAGAGTGGAAGGCGCTGTGGAAGGCAATAGAACACTCCGTGGCACTGATGAATAGTGCCCTCTGCTGGGCATGTGGGGAAAGGCTTGCGGGGAAATCACGGCTGTCCTCACTACTTTGTGCAGACAGGGAATGTCTCTCTCCAGGTGGGAAGTGCAGTTTCCACTCAGGCTGTGGGTGTGGAGATAAAGGAGCAGGAACTGGCCCTTTCAGTCTGGCCACAATCTATACAGTAGAGCTAATACTTATGCAGCTTTGTATGCCAGGCACCCTTGTAAACACTTTATAGATACCAACTCATTTACTAGGACCTTTTTACAGATGGGAAAAATAAGGCACATACACTGGAAGTGCTGGGAATTGTATCTGTGCCCTGAACCATGCCTCCTTAGCGGAAGGTGGGAAGTAGCTCCACCTTTAGCCAGAGTTGGCCCTGTGGAGTTGCTGAGTGAGTTTGGAACTGGACATATAAGGTATGGGCTGAAAAAGGGGCTTTCCAGTGACAGCCCCCACCCGCTCAATGGCAGGCCACCGAGCTGACCTCAGGGCCCCTTCCTGACTGGCCATCCCTCGGCATTTCCCTGCCTGGACCTTCCTGCAGAGCCTGTGTGGGCCTGTGGTCAAGGAAGGTCCGTGCCTTGCAATGGAGGCCATGAATTTGAGGCCTCAGCTACTTACTCACCTTCCAAGGATGATAGTCATTTTCCTCAAGCCTCCTCAAGGGCCTGGACAAGCCCACCTGGGAAGACGGGTCCTGTCTGCAGCCCCTCAGCTCAGGTCAGCAGCAAAGGAAAATGCACCGCATGAAGTAAGGCCTGGGCGCTGCCCATCTCAGCCCCGCTGGACGATCTTAGGGGATTGCTTGCTTTTGGAACCTCTTTCTTTTCCCATCTGAAAAATGGCAGGGGTGGAGTAGGGACACCTTTCAAAGTGCTCTGCATTTGGGGGTTTTTAAGGAGAAATACTGGGAAGATGAGGCCAAATAGGCAGGTCTCTTGGCCATCTACACTCTATTTCCAACAATTTCATTTTTGAAATTGAAAGATTTTTAAGGAATCTTAAATTCAAAAAATTTGAAAGATTTTTAAGGAATCGCTATACCCAGCATAGGACTTGAACTTTCAACCCTGAGATCAAGAGTTGCATGCTCCACCAATCAAGCCAGCCAGGCACCCCTCCAACAATTTCATGTTTTTTTGGATTAGAGATCTGTGACTTTGCTTTTAAATCTGGATGGGGGTGGGGGTGGGGGATCATTTGAAAGTATGAGCCCAAGCAGTCCTTTCAGCACCAAGCTGTCATCCTTGACTGAACCCTCCGCTTGGAAATAAGCAGCCTTGATCCCAAACAGGGCCACAGCCCCCTGTCACCCTAATGAGACTCATCCCTAGTCACTGGAAGACTGGCTTTGAAGTATCTGCAAAGATGGGTGCTCCAGGGAATTTATTTCAACATTAAGGGCAAAAAACTAGAATCATTCATGTCCATGGATGGTGGGGAGATTGAATACATGCTGACATCCACACTGGGTATGTCGTAGACATTAAGTAAGGCAGCTTCCTAGGCCGTGCTATGAAAAGGTATAATGCAAAATGTGTAATGCACAGTGGGAAAAAGATCGGAAGGATACATACCGAATGGTTGCACCACAAAACATGAAGGATTAACACTCAGGTGGTCCCCACTCGTAGAACCAAGCACACTGGTTATGCTGAACTCTGGAGTGGTTAGCACTGGTACCTTATCATATTTGGACTCCTTAGTATAGGCCCTAAAGACCAGAGTCCTAAAATCCCATTTTGCAGATGAGAAGTAGGCCCAGAGTGAGAAAGGGATGTTACATAATCAATCCCATCCCAGAACCCAGGCTGGTTTTCTCCAAATCCCTCGGAGGCTGGTTCCTATTTCCATTGCCAGGGGAATCTAGATTCATCCACAGAGATCAGGCTTGGCTAGAAAAAGCCACTTTTTCTCCTCACCACCCTCCAAAAATCCCAGGGGAGGAAGGCCAGTATGCAAAGTGGCTGTTTGGTTTTATTATTAGTCTCAGCTGAAGATAGGGCTTCAGGCTTTATTTAGGCTTTTCAGAGAGGAGTTTAAGATAAGGGGCAGCAGGTGTTTGCTGGCTGAGACACCAAATCCTCTCACCTTATCAACACAAGCAGCAGGTCCCTGGTAGAGGGAAATTTGAGGCCACAGGAACCAGAGGCTGCAGCTTGAGTGAGAGCCAGGAGGTGGCCTTGACCTGCGGGCGAAGGAGCTGTGGAGTGAGGATGGATAAGGTTTCCCACACAATTTCGTTCCCCTTTGATTTCCCATCCATGATCTGGGGCATCAGGACACCCTCAGTCACATTCTTCAGAGCCTTGGTAGCAAACTTGACCGGACATCGGAATTGCCTGAAAGGCCAGTTAAAGCAGATTGCAGGGTCCCACCTAGAATGGCTGATTCGGCAGGTAATGCAGAGGCTGGCGGTCTAGGCACTGCACTCTGAGTACCATTGCTTAAAGAATTAGTCCCTCTTGTGGAAAGAAAGCTAATAATTCAATTCAGCAATCCCTACAGCTTCACTTGAGACACTTTTCTCTTGGTTCATCGCAAAGAAAATGGTAAACTTCGCTGTAACAAAGGAACATATGGACTAGTTCTTTCCCTGCTGTCTTTTCATCCTTATTCGTGCATCCAACTATTGTTAGGAACGCTTCAATTTCACGCACATCCTGGCTGAGTTCTCTAGTTTTCTGTCTGGCTTGATTTTGATGATGATCAGGTGCCATTAAAAAAAAAAAAAATACAATGAGGCCATTCTTTAAAGGAGAAAAATCCCCTCAGAGGGTGATTGTGACGATTTGTTTAAAGGAAATAGTGGAAGTGTTATTTGGCCCTAAAATGTATTAAATAAATGGTAGCTATTACCAGTGAACACAAATTGTACCTACAGTATGCCAGATATTAAGTCATCCAGTCTCCATAAAAATTCCCCATTTTCTTGAGGCAAATAGAGGTTAAATCAACTTGCTAGGAAGAAGCAGTATCAGATCCTCCCCACCCTCTCCTTGCCTTCTGATACAGAGCCCACCACACATAAGAGGAAGTGCTTGCCCTACATTATACCAGTCACTGTTCCAGAAAAGATGTTGCCTGTAGTCCTGGTAGGGTCCAGCCCAGGGGTAAGGAAGCTAATGGTTCTGCCACACAGAAGAGCAGCTCAGAATTTGTAGAGAGGGGCGCCTGGGCGGTGGCGGAAGAGCACATGACTCTTTGATCTCAGGGTTGTGAGTCTGAGCACCACATTGGGGGTACAGTTTACTTAAGTAATTTGTGGAGAGAAGGCAGGCTCACCTTCATCAGGCCTTCCTGGGCACATATTCGAATCCTGAGCTTCCTCTACCATCAGGACCTAGGTCCTTCTCCTAGGTGAAGCCAGGTTAGAAGTGCTCACTCCTCTTATACAACTCTGAACCCTCTAAAACCCGCTGAATTGGACACCAAGGTGGGTGAATGGTATGGTATGGGACTCACAGGGAAATAAAACGGCAATTAAAAAAAAGTTCACTCCCCTGGTACCTCTGGGAAAAATTTCTTTAATAAAAAAAGTTGTAGTACATTTACACGATTGTCATCACCCTTATCTACAGCGCTCAATAGGGAAAATAAAAAATAAAGGACAACCTAGTCGCGCTCAGTATAAAAACGCAGTAATTCATTCCAACAGGAGACCTGGTTGCCTGAAGAAGAGACAAACGTATGAGGGCACATAAGCCAAGCAGCCGAGGTCTGGGCTTCTGGAGGAATCCAGGGGACGGTTGAGGACCCGCCTCTAACTTTTTGAAGATAGTATTAAAAAAAAAAAAAAAAATCCAGGTTGCAATAAGAGGCCTCATTCTAAGGAGAAGGGTCCATTCCAAAGAAAACATCACTGGGGGGCGGAGGGGATGGTCAGAGTCTCTCCAGTCACAGGACAGAGCCAGACATTGTACAGTAGGTTATAGAGTCCTGGAAATTTGTCCTCAAAAGCAGCCCTGGCCCCGTCTGCGAGGTTTTCAGAGGTGAAATTGAACTGCCCATGGCCTTCTACTCTGAAAGGCTTAGAGACCAACCCTTAATGTCAGACTTGACGCCTCTCTCCTCCAAGTTGCTAAGGTCACTTCTTGACAAGCTCCCAAGTTCTTGGTTGAGGGGAGGACTCAGGCTCCTTGGAGATGCCACTGCAGCCAGCCGTTAGCCCGGGTCCTGCTGGAAGGCGGCCTAGTCATCCTGGCCACCACCATACATGTCCGCCAGCTTCTTGAAGCGACTGCCCCACTCATTCAGATAATCATAGTCTTGGTCCTGGTCAGAGGCTGAGGAGGTGAGGGAGCTCAGGGACGCAGCATCAGAGCCGCTGCCCTCGTAGTCAAACACCAGCAGGGAGTCGTAGGGCGGGGCCGTGGGGTCCGTGTTTGCCGCCTTCAGGTTCTGTGGCGACAAGAGCGGGTGGTTAGGAGCAGCGGTCAGACACGCGGCAGCTGTGGGAGCTCAGGCACATTAGTTCACCCTGCCCCGCCTGCGCTTCCTCATCTGTGAAGACCTCTTTTTCCTCCATTAAGGTTTGAAGGGTGAAATGAAATAACGCGCATAGATACTTAGCCCTGAGCCCGGTACACAGCAAGTGCTCAGTGTGGCAGGTCAAGAGGAGGGAGGAACTCTGAAACCAGACAGCTCAAGTCAGAACTCAGGCTTCACGTACTAGTTTTGTGACCTTGGGCAAACCCCTTAATCTCTAGGTGTTGTTTTGTCTGATCTCTGCAACGGGAGACTTCAAATAGTTTTAGAGAAACACACTAATACATGTAAATATGTGCAAAGTGCTTATGAGAATAGTACCTGGCATATAGGGGAACATGATCTTCCTTATTTGTAAAATGAGGATAACACTAGGATTCCTTCCCTGCAGTCGATGTGGGGATTGAATGACACGGTATTTGCAAACTATCTGACACAGGGACCTTTTGGAAATGGTCTTCATCTAACTGGAGGGAAAAGTTCCAGGTATTTAGCTCCAAGGCATCTTCTCAAACCATCTGCTCTGAGCAATTTCCCCAGACGCTTTTGTTTTTGCGTAGCACTCTCAGGCCAAACAACAGAGTCTAACTTTACCAGACTACTTCTAGAAGGCAAGAAGGGGAAGCAGAAAGTTCAAGCCCAAGTGAGGTATTCTGACAAGCCACTGGGCCCTCTGCCCATCATTGCTTCCTCACACTCCCTAAAACCCATCCATCTATCTTTCCTCCCTTCCTCATATCCTTCTTTCCTTCTTCCCTCCCTCTTACTGAGCACCTCTATTTTATGGGGCACCTGACTGGCTCAGTCAGTAGAGCATACAACTCTTGATCTAGGGGTCATGAGTTCAAGCCCCACATTGGGTGAAGAGCTTACTTTAGGAAAGAAAAGAAAGAAAAACCTTCATTTACTGCTAGTGAGGTACCAGGCTGTGCTAGGCTCCTATCATTTATCTTCTATGTACCTAGTTCAGTGGATCTTACAATCCTATCTGTACATTTGATTTTAAGCTTGGGGAGCTTAAAAAAAAATAGAGTCTAAAAAAATAAATGAATCCCTGGATTCCAGGAATGGTTACTTTTCAAAATCCCACAGATAATCAAATGTGTGATCAGAGTTAAGAACACTTGAGACACTCAGCTATTGTCAACAATAACTATCATTACCTAATATATGCTACATGCCAGGGGTACCTGGGTGGCTCAGTTGGTTAAGCGTCTGACTTCAGCTCAAGTCATGATCTCATGGTTTGTGAGTTTGAGCCCCACGTCAGGCTTCTTGACAACACAGAGCCTGAAATCTGCTTCTAGTTCTGTGTCTTCCTCTCTCTCTGCCCCATCCCAGCTCACGCTCTTTTTCAAAAATGAACATTGAAAATAAAATTTTTTTTAAATAAAATAAAAATAAATGCTACACACCAAGCCAGTGGTTCATAGACTCTTATTACTTGGGAATCTTCTTAAAATTCCGAAGCCCAGGCCACATCCAGATCAATTAAATCACAATCTCCATGGAAAGTCAGAAATGTCAGTTTTTTAAGTTCCCCAGGAGATTTCAGTGTTTGGGGACCACTGTTCTAGGTGCTTACTCATCTGACCCTTAAAGTGACCTTTAACAGAGGGTCCTCAACTCTGTTCCACATTGGGATCACCTCGGATTTTTAAGCACTCAAACCCAGGTAGTCTGCCTGCAATTTTCAAGCAACTGTTATGTATGTTGAATAAATGAATAAATGATTCCTAACCTACTGTTAACCACTCTGCAACTTAGGGTTTTATGGAGGAGAAAATAGAAGCCGAGAAGTTAGCCAAATATGTCAGGGGGTCACACAGCTGGTTGGTGGGGCAACTAAGATTTGAACCCAGAGCCAAGACCCAAAGCCCATGTCTTTTCTCTCATGCTGGTGCCTGAATCACAGGCTTCTCCTGGCTGGCCCCCTACGCCTCACCTCGATGATGAAGTTCCCAATCTCATCTGGGTTGGCTGGACGTGGACGGTACATGGGTGTGGGGATAAAGGATGGCGCCACGTCATTGCGGAGAACCACCTCAGGCCTGGCCTCCAGACCCCGGTGGAGTTGGGTGATGTCATAGTCCTTCATAAAAATCAAGAAGAGCATGGAATTGAAAAGTGAACTCCCCCACCGTTTGCATTTCATCCCATTTCCCTGCCACTTGGATGTTCTGATTCACGGGTAGGTCTTAATCTTTGTCAGATATTTCTGAAAGCCCTTGTTCCCATAGCCCTCCTCCAAAATTAAGCACAGGCTCAAGGTCATTTTAGCTGAGGCCAAAGGGACTACAGCAATGGACGAGACACCCTCTCAGAAGAGAAGGGGTATCAATCTTACATGAAGACGGATGCTTCAGGCGAGAGTTTGGTCAATGTAGCTAACGTGGTTATGTTGGTTAACCCAACCATTCCTGCCAGCGGCCCTGGAGGCATCCATTTCCCAACCCTTAGACCTTCCCAGTGCCTCACCTGGTCCTCCTCACCGCCTCCCTCTTCGCCATAGTAGAAAACATTGTCACGGGTGTCATCTTCTGGGAGCAGAAGGGGCTCCTTGACCTTCCTCTTCTTCCTCACCAACAAGAGGAGGACCAGCAGGAGGACTGGAAGAGTTAGGAAGGGTAAATATTCACCCCCCCACAACCACAGAGCTGGCCAATACCCCCAACCCTTGAAGCTCCATCTAATTTTAGACCCCTCCACTCGGCAGCCAGGGTTGAAAACACTTCAATGGCTCCCTTGCGCCTAGGAAAACCCCCAACTACTTATCAAAGTGTACCGGATTGGGCCCCCCCACTTTCTGCACACATATACACTACCATGTGGGTCTGGTCACATTTGCCTCCTTGGGGTTCCTCAAATAACACCTACCAGTTTACCACTTCAGGAGCTTCATGTGGGCTCTTCTCACCTGGTACATTCTGCACGCATGGCTCTCATCTTTCAGGCCTCAGTCTACTATCCCCTCCTCCTAGCAGCAAACTGACTTCATTCCCACAGCAATAAATCTCTACCATTTATTGTCAGTCTTCCCTTTTTGGTGATATTGGTCCTCATGGAAATCCTCTTCTATGGGGATGGGAATCTCCTAGCACGTGTTACTTTTCAACAAGACTCTTTTTCAGTCCCCAATGACCCCTACATTAGCCACAGATTTTAAGTTAAAAAGCAAGACAGTACAACTCCGTGGCATAAGTTGAACTTAGGTGCAAATGCTATTTTGATATTTCAAGAGAGGAACTGGCTTTAGTAATATGGTTTGAAAGGTTGGCAGGCCATGTGGACATGGGAGTATTGGCCAACTAATGCCTGGCTGTTCTCCCCAATGCCAGGACTACCCCCCAGTTAATCCCACATTAAGAAGGGACCCCAGGGGGGCGCCTGGGTGGCTTAGTCAGTTAAGCGTCCGACTTTCGCTTAGGTCATGGTCTCACGGTTCGTGGGTACGAGCCCCGCGTCGGGCTCTGTGCTGACAGCTCAGAGCCTGGAGCCTATTTCAGAGTCTGTATCTCCCTCTCTCTGACCCTCCCCTGCTCACGCTGTCTCTCTCTCTCTCTCCTAGAAATAAAGAAAAATATATATTAAAAAAAAAAAAAAAGAAGGGACCCCAGGGCCATCTCTGGATACAGCAATGTGAGAGGATACAGCCACCATTTAGTTTTAGCACTTTTTTTTTTGGCCTGTTTATGCAATTCCTGTTTGTCTCTGGCCGAACAAAAAAGACCTAGCCTTCTTGGGGAGTCTGTGGATTATCAACATGCACAACCTATGTTGGATATACTGTAATCTTGGCCTCCCCTTTTCCTCCTCACAGAGTCTGGGGAAAGGCAGGAAGAAGGTGAACTGGACTTCTCAGTTGCACCAAAACTTATGTGTCTGCCTACTGTCATCTCCATTTGGACTGCCTGGCAATTCTCTTCCCATGATCCTTTTCAAATTGGTTAGTGGAAACTCCAGTTTCTACTTGCTTGGGTATTAGAATCCTTGATGGTTCTTCTCATTACCACACATGAATCTGAATAGATTCTTCCTTGAAATATGACCATTTCTCACCATCTCATTCCTAGAATATGGCAATAGCTTCTTAATGGTCTCCCTGTCTCCACCCTTACCCCTGTACAGTCGTTTAGTAGGAATCCTAGAAAATTCAAGTCCAATCACATCACTGCTTTGTTCTAAACCTGGATGATTTTCCATTTCATCAGATCCTCACAAGAGCCTACAAGGTGCAACAGGATGCACTGCCACACCCTTCATCTCCTTTTTTTCCCTTTTGCTTTTTCCACTCCAGCCATTTGTTGTTTCCACACGCCAAGCACAGTGGTGCCTCAGGGCCTTTGCACTTGCTGTTCCTGAGATATTTGCATGATTTGGTACCTCACCTTTTTCAGACCTTCACTCGAATATCCCTTCTCAGCAAAGCCTTTCTTACCCATCCTTCCTAGGATGGCAGACCTCTTCCCTCTGCTTCTTTTTCTCCATACCAACCCCAATTTCTCTGCCAAATGATTTACTGTCTGCTCTCTGCACTGCAAATAAGCTCCAGGAGGCCAGAGAGTGGTCTGGTCCATAAAATGCTGCACCCCCAGCACTGGAAGTAGTGCTTGGTATATAGTATGTGGATTCATTAAAGCTTGCCTTTGTTGAATTCGTACCTGATTGTATGTTTTTCTGTGTAAGGGATTCAGAGAGTGGAAAAAACAAATGTGATAGGTTCTACTTTTAGAGTAAAGAACTTAGCTTGTAACTAAACACTTCCACCCACTAGACTAATGACTTTCAAACTCTAGCATACATCAGAACCCGAGGCCTTGTCAAAACACAGATTACTGGGTCTTACCCCTAAGTTTCTGAATCGATGGGTCAGGAGTGGGCCAGAGAACTGGCCTTTTTAACAAGTTGTTGGGTAATGCTAATGCCATTGGTCTGGAGATCACACTTTCAGAACCACTGCTCTAGCCTCTAGATGACATGACAGCTGGGATGGGTCTGTCTGTTCATCACTATATCCCCAAAGCCTGGCACATTCCAGAAACTCCATCAATATCTATCCACTGAATGACACTCCTAGAATTAAGAGTATCAGGAACAAATGGGCAATGTTGGGGATGTCTTAGTCCCAGCAGTTCAGAGTAGAACTGGGGCTTCTAACTACCCCATCCTGAGAGGGGAGAGGGCACTGGTACTCACGCAACAGGGCGAGGACAGCCCCCAGGACGGGGAGGAGGAAGCCCCCATTCCAGGGCTCGGGGCAGTTCACCACATGGCCATGGCAGTCACACACGGTGGCTTTGATCACCGTCAGCTGTTCCTTGTTGCCATGGTCAGACAGAGAAAGGTGCACATCATATGCGTCCTGCTTCAGGAACTTCTTCAGGGACAAGGACACTGTGTTTCCTGCAGTGGACAGATAACATTCACCGTGGGAGATCACAAGTGGAACCGAGTAGATCATGTTGGAGGTGTGAGGAGAGGGCCTCTACATCTGGGCAATAGGGACAAATAGATATCCATCCCCAAAGCACACTTATGCCAAGTGTTAAAAACTGACATTTGGCCAAAGCCACCATCATGGAAAGGATCATTGGGATGGAAAAATATATTCATTGGGGCACCTGGGTGTCTCAGTCAGTTACGCATCTGAACTCCTGAGTTTAGCAAAAGTCATGGTCTCACAGTCCGTGGGTGTTAAGACCTGTGTGGGGCTCTGTGTTAACAGCGTGGAGCCTTCTTGGGATTCTCCCTCTCTCTCTGCCCCTCCCCTGTTCATGCTCCCTCTGTCTTCCCCCCTCCTCTCTCAAAATAAACAATTTTTTAAAAAATAAATTATTAATCATCTCCCCCTTAAAATCAATAGTCACAGTATTTTTAAAATAATGCAGTTTTTTAAAAAGTCTGTCATACATGGCCAATAATTGCTCAGCACCATTAGCTGCTAGACTGTTCTCTGCCTGAAAAAAAGAATACATTGGAATACATTCTTCCTGAGAGATAACTAACTTGTGAACCTTGAGATCAAGACCTGAGCCGAAGTCAGAGGTTCAACTGACTCAGCTACGCAGGTGGGCTAAAGCCATTTTTAGTTCAGAGTTCAGACTCTCTGGCCTCCTCTTAGCAAGGCGGCCGGAGGGAAAATCCACCCTGTTCTCATTCAGCAACAGCAGGCAGGCAGACAGGTAGCCCTGCAGGCTGAATACTTAGTCCACCATGCAGAGGACAACGTGGGGTGTTTCACGGAAACATCCCTACCACCACCCTGGTGATTCTCAGGTGCTGATGATGATGGTGGTGCCAGTGACTAAGTGGGCACTGACTGGGTGCCATGCCCTATGCTTCTCCACTACCACTTTAAGAGGCAGGTACTATTTTTTTAATATTTATTTTTGAGAGAGTAAGTGGGGGAACGGCAGAGAGAGAGGGACAGAGGATCCAAAATAGGCCCTACACTGACAGCAGAGAACCTGATGCGAGGCTCAAACTCATGGACTGCAAGATCACAACCTGAGCTGAAGTCTGACACTCAACCCACTGAGCCACCCAGGTGCCCGAAGAGACAGATACTATTATACTCATTTTATGCAGAAATTGAAGCTCAGGGAGGTCAAGTAATTAACGTGAGGTCACACTGGGGTAGGGGTTGGATTGACTCCCCTGACAACAAGGACATGATCAGGTAGAAAAACTAATCTAAGGGGCCCCTGGGTGGCGTCCGACTTTGGTTCATGTCATGATCTCACAGTTCCTGCGTTTAAGCCCTGGGTCGGACTCTATGCTGACAGCTCAGAGCTGTTTCGGATTCTGTGTCTTCCTCTCTATCTCTGCCCCTCCCCTGCTCGTGCACGTGTGCGTGCTCTCTCAAAGATAAATAAACATTAAAAAAAAAAAAGTAAAGAAAAATTAACTTAAAACCAAGAACCAGGTTTCAATACTATCACCAGGTGTTGGTACCAGTGGGCTTTGGTCATAGTGCTCACACCTGACTGAGCCAGATCTGTGATTGCTCTCGGGAGACAGTGGTGATGAAGGTGACTGCTCACACCTACTGGGCACTGATGTACCAGACAAGATGCCTCTCGTGTTACCACTTAATCTTCACATTAACTGTATGGAAGGAGGTACACTTATCGGCACCATTCTACAGATAGGGATAACTGAGGAACAGTGAGGTTCAGTAACTTGTCCATAATCACAAAGCTAATAAATGGAGCAACTGGGCCTTGAACTAAGGCATTCTGGTTCCAGAGTCCATGCTCTATAAATGATAAGGTCAGGGATGGGGAAAAAATGGCTTCTAGGCCACAAGGGGGTAAAAGGAGTCCAAGTTGTCTTCTCAAAGGAAAGGTGCTGGCCATATATATCCAAATCACAGAAATCATAAAATTGAGATGATATGGGTGTCTAAAGCAGGTCTCCTGAGTCCTTTCAGGGCCTGGTTCAGCAGGAGTAATAGCCACTGGACATTTGGATCCTTCGGGGCAGAACCTGTATATATTGGTTCCCCATTTCCTTCCTGAGGGACCTTAGCCCCAAGAGGAAGGAGGAGACATTTTAATCCAAAGTGGATATTGTCTCTCCAGAGGCCTTCCTGACACTTGGGGTTGGATCTGCCTTTCTCATACAACTCTCGTCCTCACCCGCTTGACGCCAGGTTAGACCCCTTTTCAGTCCTGTGACAACTCAATACCATGACAGACTGAGAACCTCTGAGTGGGTGGAAAGAGAATGGACAGGGAGGTGGACTGGAGCAGAGGTGCGGGGGAAAGGGACTGTGGCTTCAACTTCTGCTCCACACTTACCTACTCTGTGCCCTGGGGCATGCTATTTAACCTCTCTGAGCCTCATTCTCATTTTTTAAAAATATTTTTTAATGATTATTATTCATTCTTGAGAGAGTTAGAGAGACAGAGCACGAGTGGGGTGGGTCAGAGAGTGAGGGAGACACAGAATCTGAAGCAGGCTCCAGGCTGTGAGCTGTCAGCACAAAGCCTGACGTGGGGCTCGAACTCGTAAACCATGAGACATGACCTGAGCCAAAGTCAGACGCTCAACCGACTGAGCCACCCAAGCTCCCCCCTCATTCTCATTTTTAAATAGGTATAAAAATACTGACCACAGAAGGTAGCAGAAATATTAAATAAGAAAAAGTACCTTGCGTATTGTCAAGGTTCAATAAATGATAGGAAGCAGAGACCTAATGGTAAATCAGACCGCCTGGATTCAAATTCTAGTGGCCATCATTTTCTAGCCATAATGCCTTTGGCAAGATAATTTAACCTCTGTAAGCCTTGGTTTCCTCATATGTAAAATGGGTGCACACACATGTATGTGTGTTAATACTACCTTCTTCACAGGGTTGTTGTGAGGATTAAGTAACCTAATTTATGAAGCATCTGAAGTGGTGTCTAGCACATAGTAGGTATGCTCATGGCATGTAAGCTGTTATCACTGCAGGAATCCTAGCTCTTTCATTATGTGATACTGAGAAAGTCACACCCTCTCTCTCCCAGCCTCAGTTTTTCCATCTGCATAGGAAGGTGGTTGTACTAGAATAGTCTTAAAGGGCTACTGTAGAATCCCACAGGCTAACACTAATAAGCAGCAACAATGTTGAACAGCACTTCTCCAATATTTTGATTTTTTTTTTTACAAATAGTTTATTGTCAAGTTGGTTTCCATATAACACCCAGTGCTCATCCCCACAAGTGCCCTCCCCCATGTCCATCTCCCCCCTCCTCTTTTTTTTTTACAGTAGGCTTCATTTCATGCCCAGCATGGAGCTCAATCAGGGGCTTGAACTCATGACCCTGAGATCAAGAGCTGGATGCTTAGGGGCACCTGGGTGGATTTGTCTTTTTCCTCTCTTTCTGCTCCCCACCTCCCCAACTGGTGCATGCTCTCTCTCTCTCTCAAAATAAATAAACTTTTAAAAAAGTCAGATGCTTAACCAACTGAGCCACCCAGGCGCACCTTGGCTGACGTTATTAACTCTGTGACACGAGATGCTGGGAATGTGTACAGGGTCCTGGTATGGGGCAGACACCCACCTACTACCCACCACCACTCAATTACCTTTCTCATTGACCTCTGCTGTCCAGTGGATATCCGAGTCATGTGTGAGCTGGGCCTGGAAGGGGGAGGTGTGGGGGGACAGGTCCTTGTCCGTGATGTTCAGCACTTGGGGCACAGGGCTTTGGTTGCAGATAATGATCTTTCGGGGCTCAGGGACAGGGCCATGGTCGTTGATGTCCATAAGTGTTAGCAGGAGGGTCCCCGTGCCAGTGGTGGGAGGGTTCCCTGTTGATAATTACACACAGCATCCCTTTTAGTATCTGCCCTTGGTTGGGGCGATTCCTATGACCTACCCAATCAGCCCAGAGAGGTTCCTGTTTACTGCTCAGCTGTAACTTTTCAAGAGCTTCTATGCACTGCCCTGGGCTCATCATAGAGCAAACCGGTGATAGTTAATCCATGGCAGTCATGCCATCTTTCTCATAGCAGACGTTCTCAGTGACCAGAGCTTTGTTACAGCCACTTCATCCATATGGCCACTACCAATCTACCACAAAGGGAAACCTACTGGCTGTCTCAGGACCAACGCAGTGCTTGCTGATGAGCTTTAGGGATGCTTCCCTTCACAGCCCTGCGGTGACCTCTGATCTGCCTCCAGGCTTGCTTCACTGTGTCAAGCAGCGATGTCAAATCACAGCCTAACCCCCATTCCTGCCATGGTATGACATCACTAACCATCATGGCGCTTTCCAGGCAGCCTGTTTCAATCAGTCACACGGCCAATTCTGGGCTTGGTGAACCACACACGTGGGTTGAAAGAAGTCATTCTCCTAACACTCAGGTCTTGGGGAAACCATAGCCAGCCAATCCTGGTCTCAGAAAGACTCCTCTGCAAGTCACCTTTGACCCTCCAGATTGGTTTGCTGACATCCTTCCCTGACACTGTGGAGGGGATGAGCTGTCATGGGCTCCAAAGGTACCCAAGTGGAGGGACCAGGAGGAAGCTCTCACCATCATCTGTGGCCAAGACCATGACTTCGTAGATGTTGTTTTTCACAAACCGTTCATCCTCACGGTCTAAGACCCCTGTGGCAGTGACCTGTCCGCTGTCTGGGTCCATCGCTAGCCACCCTGCTGGGTCTCTCAGGATGTGGTAGCTGAGTGGAAAAGTTGAGAAGAATCACATCCATAATACTTAGAATTCTTGTTGTCCTTCAAAACCTACTCATTCCAACTGGCAGGTGGGGTTATGGGTATGGGGGCTCCTAAGCAAGATCACATGAACAATGCATCTCACCCCTAAATGGGAGCCTGAGCAGCAGATAGAGGGCGCAGCAGGGACGCATGAGAGAGAGTGGGAATACCTGCCCCCTAGACCTCAGCCTTGGGGAGAGTAGGAAGGCAAGGCCCCGTGCAGGGGTGATGTTCAAAATATTTAGCAATCTTTCTGGTAATGAGACCAAATTCAGCCATAATAAATAACCCGTCTAGTACTACTAATGCTGTTGGATGCATCTGAGCCCAGCTCTTGTGTACCTGATCTTCTGATTCCCCCTGTCAGGGTCCTGTGCAGTGTAGGTACAGACAGACTCCCCGACAGAGATACCCTCCTGGACCTCGATGACTTTGGAGGGTGGGACAAACACAGGTGCCTCATTCACATCCTCCACATGGACCACGACGGTGGCCGTGGAGGTTGGGAGCTTCACCACAAAGGGAGCCTCATTGGTCACTTCAATGTACAGTGTGTGCTGGTTTTTGGCCTCGAAATCCAAGCCCTGAGGAAGAAGAAGAAAGAGAACCTGAGCTGTGAATTTGTGAGGAGGCCCCATGCAGTGCTTTGAGGTCAGAAGGAAAGGGCCCACGGTGAGGGGCTCAAGGCTCCCAGGAACAACAACGCTACCCTTTCCATAAAGCCTCCTGTACTTTGGGTGGACAGCCAGTGGGGTCTCTCAGAGCACCCCTAGACCAGTAAGCTCTACAAGTGGTTCCCAATGGGGTGGTGGCCCCCAAGGGGGCGTCACAGAAAGTTGGGAAGGCCTTTCTGGTTATCATAATGATTGGGGATGCCTCTGGCATTTATAGGCTGGGGCAGGGACACAAAGAACTGTCCCACAGGCCGTGACTTGCCAATACCCCCTTGGACATTCATGTATTCGTGGGTGTGAAAAATCTGTTTATAATTACAGTCTAGAACACATTTTACATATAAACTAAGTTTTTGGTGTGGTTTTAATATATATGGACTTTTCTAGGAATGCAATCTTCTGAGGGGAGCTTATAATTTGATTTGTTCAGACCCTTCCCAAAAGCAGTTTATCTGCTGTCCTGTAAGACTCCAGTATGACTTGTGGTGTGTATGAGCCACCAGAGTGACACACATAACTCGCTACAGGCGGATGAGTCTACAAAGAGATACAACTGACCACTTCATTATATGTTCTAGTATGTTCCCAAAAGTCTACATACAGGAATAGCTTATTATCAGTAACTTTTCCTGTAAAATTCTTCTTTATTTCACAGTTGGGGCAATCTATTTTTCTAGAAATTATGTAAGTTAGGTAAGTTTCATTACAAATGAAATTCATTTCACAATGTAAAAAGGGCATTACAAAGTTTTTGCTGAAAGAAGGGGATAGTTTTTAAAGTATTATATAAACCTCTGCTTCTCAAACTAGGCTCTTCTAAAAGCATCAATTTTTTTCAAAGCCTTTTTGAGAGGCAACCATCTCTCCAACTACTAAATAACATAAAACATTTTACTATGCAAAAACCTAGACATGTATTATGGATTAAATGCAAAATCTGCAAGCATTCCAATAAAACAGAGCCCCTGTGTGTAAGACTGATTAGAGACAGCCGCTGGACATCAGATCACCAGGATCTGGCAGGAGGGCCTCTGGTAGATCTAGGAGGAGGATCTGCCTTAATCACAACAGTGACTTTCACCTGTTTTATGAATGGAGTCACTGGGTGAGACTTAGTTTGCACAAAGCAATACACTGACACAAGAGGGATGGTAAAGGGTGAGAAGCCACCGGCCTGGTGCACTCCCTAGTTGAATGGTTCAAAGTAGGAGTCCCAAGGCAGATGATGCCTCCTTCTCCTGGAGGCTACAGACCTGACTGCCCCAGGTGTGGCCCCTGTCTAAAGCCCAAACAGACTCACCTTCCTGGTTGTCAGAATGCCCTGGTTGCTCTTGGGGTCGGTAGTGATGGTAAAATGATCCCCATCGTCACCTTCCAAAATGCGGTAGGTGGCATGCCATGCCGGTGAGCTGGGGGCATCCAAATCAGTCACCATCAGCCTCTGCACCTCATGGCCCACCGCGTTCTCTGGCACTTGGGCCTCGTACTGGTGGTGTGGGGAGCACAGCACAGTTAGAGCAGAGACTGATCACCCTGAGACTGTTCCTCTCTTCCCCAGCTACGGATCCTCCACGTAATTCTGCGGGAGCTGCCTGCCGCTCAGTCTCTCTGGGACCACCCAACCCCCATACCAGTGTTTCAGGGCACACACAGATGCAGAATGTCCCAGCTTCTGGGACAGACCACAGGGATGTTGGGCCTGCTTTTCCTACATCCAGGGGCCTAATGCTCCAGTAATCTCACTTGTCTGGGCACCCTAAACCCTGCCATGTGTAGCCACCCATCTAGCTGAGATCAGAAAAGTATGAAGAAGGTGGCAAGAAGGACTAAGGTGCCTGATTGCTTTACGGCACTGACCAGGAACTTTTTTTGGAAGTTCTGGAATAAGTGGCAAACACTGGGACCTTAGCTGCTCAGAACACATTTTTAATCAAGTCTAAAATAATATTCAGTAGCCAGAGTTATCTAAAGATGGAAGGGGGGTGGGTGTCATCCTGACTGGTACTGAGTCCTCTGTTGCTGGAGGTATACAAAGCATTCACTGGGCGAAGGTGGACAGGTACAGGTGTGAGACAAATTATAAGTTTTCATATCAACATGGGTTTTTTTCCTTTCTTCCCTCCTTCCTTCCTTCTTCCATTCTCTCTGTCCCTCCCTCTCTCTTTGTAAAGTAACCTCTACCTCTAATGTGGGGCTCACACTGATGATACCAAGATCAAGAGCCACATGCTCCCCTGACTGAGCCAGCCTGGGGCCCCTCAACAAGGATTCTCATATTGACCACTTACGTACCAGGGATTGTGTTATGAACTGTACATAGATTATGTCATTCAAAACTCAGAACAATGCAGCAGGTATTACTATAGTCTCCATTTCACAGATTAGGAAATGGGGCACAAAGAGGTGAGGTCGTTTTTCTCCAGGCCCACATCTAGTAAGTTGTGGGACAGGACTGGAAGCAATGTGGGCTGTTTCCAGAGTTTCATGAGAAAGGAAAACCTGAGGGATGTCTAAGTGGCTCTGTAAGTGAAGTGGCCGACTCTTGATTTTGCCTTGGGTCATGATCTCACGGTTCAGGAGTCTGAGCCCTGCATGGGGCTCTGCACTGACCATGTGGAACCTGCTTGGGATTCTCTCTCTCTGCCCCTCCCCTACTTGTGCACGCATTCTCTATCTTTCTCTTAAAATAAACAAACTTAGAAAAGAAAGGAAACCTCAGTCCCTCATCATAGGATGAGGAAAGATGGACTGAGATGACATTTACCTTCTGAGGGTCAAACACAGGAGCATTGTCATTGGCATCGAGGATTTCCACTATGGCCACTGCTGTGGTGGTAGAACCATCGCCATCCATGTCTGTTGCCTGGATGGTCAGTGTGTACTCAGGGACTCTCTGGGGAGGAAAGCAAAGTTCAGGCCGAGGGGTCCCTCAGCCTGGGCTCGCAGAGGCACAGCCCTGGATGTATGTGGAGGAAGGGGAATGTTTATCTTCATCACAGGGCTCTCTTGAATCCCTGCCCCACTGCTCACCCACCGCAGAAAAGAACAGAGGCAAAGGGTGGAGGAGGAGGGGAAACGCAGAACCAAAGTGTTCTCCTGGGCCAATTTCGAGGTGGAGCCTGGGCATTGCCCCCTGACCCCGGGTTGATACAGAATGGGAGCTTTGCGTGGGGATTTGGGTGAAGGTATTAATTAGGAAACAGTAGGCGACTCCAATAGCCATGGAGCTAATTCTACTTTGTAGCACACAAGGGACAAATCTGGGCAATGCATGCTAAGTGAGCCATTCCTAGAGGAAATGAGAAAACCTATAGAAAATATCAAACACTTGCATTTTACAGCTGCCTCCTCAGCCTTAACGAGATCACTTGGCAGCATGCCAGTGGCCCAAGAGAGCGGTGGACCATCAACATAGGAACACAGCAGCAGCCCTTCCCCGCGGACTTGGATTCTCACTGCTCTGTCTTGGCCTTTGGGGGCGTGGCTTCTGCTCTTGAATGCCAGACCACAGCCTGAGCAAGCCTGGGTAGGCGGCACTTTCCCTAAAGGCCACTCACCTCACGGTCCAGGCCACTGGAGATGACACTAATGGTACCCGTGCTCCGGTGGACAGTGAACATGAGGTCATGCGGGTCCTTTGGCTCTTGGCTATGGATGGAGTAAGCAACCACCCCATTGTAGGTGTTGATGGCATCGTCCTCATCTGTGGCTGTCACCTGCATCACAGAAGTGCCTAAAGGGGAGAAGGAATGAGTGAGCACCCTTCTCTGCCAGCCCCGATTCCAGCCTTGCCTACTTCTGGAACTCTGAGCAGCTCCACCCTGCTTATCAGCTTGGACCCAAAATCCACTTTGCGGCTGACTGCTAGGTGGTGTCCATTTTCCTTTCTCTGCTTCCTTCTTAGAAATAAAATCCTCATAATCATTTTAAGCTGAGCACATGGCCTGCCTGGAACAAAGATTATGTCCCATCCCTTCTTGTAGCTAGCTGTGGCCTTGAGACTAAACTCTGACAAATGGGATATATGACTTTGGGGTCAGTGTTTTTCTGAGTGTGGGGCATATTCTTCCCATCCCTTCCCTCCTTCCAGGTGTAATGGCTGGAGCTCCAGCAGCAACCATGAGGTAATATTGCAAACAAAGCCCAAAGATCAGAGCAAAGAGAGAGAAGGAGCCTAGGGCTCCCACACTGCAAAGCACCATTCTAGTTTTGATTGCCCACCTCTAGACTTCCTGAATATAAAGAGAAAATAAGGTTCCATCTCATTTAAGGTACTCTTTTTCTTTGGGAGATTTCTGTATTGGCAGCCTAACCAATTCATACTTCTGGAATTCTCCACAACTCAGAGAGGAAGAAGAGGAGAACCCCTCCCCACTAGCATCGGTCTTTGAGGTCATTATGTGTTATATCTAATCTTCACAATTCTTTACGAGTAATATAACTCCCATTTGCAGATGTGAAGATTGAGGCTCAGAGGTCAAGAACTTGCCCAGGGTCACAGCAAAAGAGGTCACATGTTAAGAGGCAAATCAAGATTCAAACCTAGATCTTTGTAACTCTAAAGCTGGTGGTTCCCAAACCTGAAGCTTCTGGGAAACTTTCAAATATACAGATTGCAAAACTGTATATTTAAGATCATCCTCATTTAGGGATCTTGGGAGGGAGGAGGGGGATCTGAATTTTTAAAGATTTTTTGTTTTTAAATTTTTAATTTTTTTTAAAGAGAGAATGTGTGTGCAAGTAGGGGAGTGTGTCAGGGAAGAGGGAGAGGGAAAGGGAGAGGGAGAGGGAGAGGGAGAGGGAGAGGCAGAGGGAGAGGCAGAGGGAGAGGCAGAGGGAGAGGCAGAGGGAGAGGGAGGCTTAAGCAGAATCCACGCTCACCTGCAGACAGGCCTCAATCCCACACCTTGAGATCATGACCTGAGCTGAAATCAAGAGTCGGATGCCCAACTACTCAGCCACCTGAGCAGCCCGGGAATCTGAATTTTTAAGAGTATCCCAGGTTATCTGATGCACAGCCAAGGAAATCAGATATGGAGGGTTTTTCCAGCCTTTGAGGGTCTGAGCTGACCTCCAGATGGTCCTAAAAGTTGTCCCAAGGCTATGTCTTGGTCCAACAGACCTCTCTAGCTGTCCCCTCCCCAATCCTCTTACCGGGTAGTACCCCTTCCAAAACGCTCCCTCTGAAAACATCCTGGGTGAACTTGGGCTTGTGGTCGTTCTGGTCGGTTACAATGATGGAGATGTTCATGGGGTCTTCCACCGAGGCACCGTTCTCTGATACAGCGTGGCCAAAGAGCTGCAGGTGCACAGGTCCAGGGTCAGCCTGGCCCACCCTCCCCACCTGGCCATGGGCCCTGTTTCTTATTGGATGCTCCAGGTTACCTACCTCATACTTTGCAATCTTCTCCCGGTCCAGTGGCTTATTTAACAACAACCAGCCTGTTTCCTTCTCTATGGTGAAGACACCCTCGGGGGGACTGTCTGCTCCAGGCCCTGTGATGCTGTAGAAAATCTTGGTGCCTCTGTCCTTATTAGATTTGAGCTGGAAGCACAAGAAAATAGCAGCTGACAAAGTGACAAATCCCTCACAAGTGCAACAAAAGTGGGGAGGGGTGAAGCAATGGTGCCTTGTCAGAAACTATTCCCGGTACAGAGGCTTTCAGGAGCAAGAAACCTTATAGTCAGGGCTGTGGATGAGAGTCTCTGAAGCCACCAGTGACTCCCTGGGAGAAAGCACAGTCATACCTGATTCAGCTTCTGGGGGAAGGGACCCTTGCCGTTTTCAGGGACAGATATCGGTGGAACCACCCATTCTCTCTTGCGTCTTCGCAAGATATGGTTGGATGGGAAGATCTTTGATGCTTTCCTCTCCTGCAAGGAGAGAAGACCCCTTAACTCAGACACGCAAACAGCTGGAAGATACTCAACATCCTCTCACTTACAAAAGTTAAGGGTTAGAAGATCTAAATAGGTTTATTGCAAAAAGACACATTGAAAAGAATCCTAAGTATTTATTTATAGAGAACCAATTAAATACACTAGAATATATCTATCTAGTGGAATTGCTATACAGCTCTAAAAATTAGGAATGAATAAAAAAGAACAAGGTATACTAAACTACAGTATAGTTTAGTATTTTATTTAACTTAGAAAATTACTATGTACCAACTTTTGTGTAAAAATGTAGGAAAATAAGTCCATGTATTAATAGTGGCTTATATATAAACAAAACCTATTTTTAAATGCAGAAAGAAGGTGCATACATGTGAATAGTATACGTTTTGCATAAAAAAGAGAAGGAAAAAGAGTATTTTTATATCTGTAAATACATAAAATGCATAATAGGTATGTAATATAAATAAATATAGAATATATAAATAAACTTCAGAATGAAAAAAACTGGTAACAGTGGTTATCTGTGTATTCTCCTGGAAAGGACATTAGGTAGGTGCAGAGAAACAAACGGAGTTTATTCACTGTGTAACTTTTTAATATTTTAAAATTGTTGAACTATGTGGACATATTAGCTATTCAAAAAATTAAAAGAAACAGAGAAATGTGGCCGAGTGCCTCAGGTTTGTCTTCCTAGAGGCTCATGGGATTGGTAGCCTTGTGTTGGAATCACCTTCCCTTGGGGTTTAGCAAGATGATAGGGGAAAGAAGAAAAGGGTGGTGGGAAAGAGAATGGGGGTTACAAAGGGCACTGGGCCATTGCTCACAAGGCAGTTCTTTGCCCCACTGGCCTGACTCTCTGGTGCCCCTAGTGGAAGGGTGTAGGCATTACCCTGCTTAGATCAGTAGCCATGCCCATAGGTGTGGGAAAACTGAGGGTGTCTTCTGAAATGGTAACATGGTTCATAACCCAGCAACCTCCAACTCCTGGCCAACGGCAAACTGGGCATGCATAGAGAATATCTTTCTTCCACCTGGCAGGTGCACATGGTGTTTTACCTGGACTGTTCTAGCATTCAGCACAGCAAAGTCACCATCAGTGCTAAGCAGGGCTGACTCTTGCCCAGGGCAGTCGACAAAAATCACTGTGGGGAAGAGAGAAGCAGAGTATTAGGAAGAAGGGGGCTTCTGCTACCCTAGTGAAAGACAGTAGCCCCCTGACTGGATCAAAGATGGTTTCAAGCCTCTGGAGGAGACCTGGCTTTGGTCTCCACTGTAATCAAATATGAGTTCCAGATGGGGATTCCAAATTCGGCCTCAAGAAGGAGGACCACATTGCGGTTTGTGGGCCAAGCTCCTTTCTTTGTTCATGAGACCAAAGAATCAAGATCATACGCATTCAGCAACATCAGCCCCAGACGGCCTCATAAGACATAGGGTTGACCGAAGGTCATGGTTGGAGGCAAGAGATACTCAGCATTTCAGAAGACCATGAGTCCACCTACATGCAATATTCATCCTGCTACCCACACAGATCATTCTGGACAATCTCTAGCTGTTTCAGTTTGTCATGTTCCCTCTGAATTCCCCCTGCTTAGCCACCTTTTAAATAAGCACTCTGAGGTGATAACTACCATTCACTAAGCCAGAGACTGGGCCCATTTCATCCTTACAACTGCTTAACTAAGGTAGGTATTAGCTCCTTTTCAAAGATAAGAAAACTGAAGTTCAGAAGCCATATCAGCCCATCTTCAAAGCATTCACTAGAGAGTACTTAACAACCAATGTTCTTACCCACCCTTCCTTGTGGCCAAAGCATGAAAAGAGGGTGCCTGCTGAGGGCACACCTGGGCCCAGACACCAGTCTGTATCGTTTTCCGAGGCTGCAATACAAAGACCACAGGGACAGTGCTGTGCCACAGAGATGTCCGCATGAGGCCACCCAACTGTCCTTTTTTCAAAAATTGTCCTTTAGTTGCAGATGATGATGACTGTTGTTTTTTCTGACTGCCTTCACCACTCCCTCCCTCACTTTTTAAATTTATATTTATTTTGAGAGAGAGAAAGAGAAAGAGAGAGAGAAGAAGAGAGAGAATCTCAAGGAGGCTTGTACTATAAGCAGAGAGCTCAATGTGGGGCTTGAACTCACAAACTATTAGATCAAGGCCTAAACCAAAACAAAGTGTTAGTTGTTAAACCACTGAGTTACCTATGATGACTGTTTTAAAAAAAATCCTTCCCTGGGTCGCCTGGGTTGCTCAGTCGGTTAAGCCTCTGATTTTGGCTCAGGTCATGATCTCACGGTTCTTGAGTTTGAGCCCTGCAACAGGCTTTATGCTAACAGCTCAGAGCCTGCATTCAGATCTTCTGTCCTCTTCTCTCTCTGCCCCTCTTCCACCCATTCTCTCCGTCTCTTTCTCTCTCCCTCTCTCTCTTCATTGGGGCACCTGGCTCTGTCAGGCTTATTCTGTAGAACACGTAGAAACTTCATCTCAGGGTTGTGATTTCGAGCCCCACATTGGCTGTAGAGATTCCTTTTAAAAAAATCTTTAAAAAATTTTTTTAAATGTTTATTTCAGAAAGAGAGAGAGAGAGCGCATGAGAAGGGGAGGGTCAGAGAGAGAGGAAGTCACAAAATCTGAAGACCAGGCTCCAGGCTCCGAGCTGTCAGCACAAGTCTGACACAGGGCTCAAACTCATGAACTGTGAAATCTTGACCTGAGCCAAAGCCGAATGCTCAATGAGTGAGCCACCCCGGGGAACCCCCCAAAAAAAATATTTAAAAAAATTTGGGGTGCCTGGCTGACTCAGTCAGTAGAGCACGTGACTCTTGATTTTGGGCCATGGTTGAACATGTGGGGGTAGAGATTACTACATTTGAGGTAGGGATTACTTAAATAAGATCTTTTTAAAAATCCTTCCATAAAATAAGAAAGGGTAACAGATGAGTTTAACTACAAAAGTAATGTGAACACAACATATTCAAATAGTATATAATATAAAAAAGAATTCTAAATTATAAGTATCCAGAATATAAAAACTCCTAAAACTCAACATCAATAAACATTCCAAATTTAAAAAAAAGAAACAAAGAAAGAAAAGAAAAAGGGGGGACAAAGCATAAGAGACTCTTAAATACAGAGAACAAACTGAGGGTTGCTGAGGGGTTGTGGGTGGGGGGATGGACTAAATGGGTGAGGGGCATTAGTGGGGACACTTGGGATGAGCACTGGGTGTTATACACAGGGGATGAATCACTGGAATCTACTCATGAAATCATTATAGCACTATATGCTAACTAACTTGGAGGTAAATTAAAAAATTAATAAGTGGATAAATTAAAAAGATAAAAGAAAAAGCAAAGGATCTGAAAAGATCTTGGGCTAAAGAAGATATACAAACAGCAAATAAGCATATGACAAGATGCTCAGTGTCACTAATCATTGGGAAAATGCAAATCAGAATGACACTGTGGTACCACTTCACACCTAGGAAAACGATTTTATTTTATCAAAAATTTTTTTTCATGTTCTATTTTTGAAAGAGAGAGTGCAAGCAGGGGAGGGACAGAGAGAGACCAATATGGGCTCAAACCTACCAACGGTGAGTTTATGATCTGAGCTGAAGTTGGACCCCCAACTGACTGAGCCACCCAGGCGCCTCTAGGAAAACTACTTTTTTTTTTTTTTTTAAAATAACAAGGGCGCCTGGCTGGCTCAGTTGGTGAAGCGTCCTATTTCAGCTCAGGTCACGATCTCACGGTTCATGGGTTCGAGCCCTGCATCGGGTTCTGTGCTGACAGCTCAGAGCCTGGAGCCTGTCTTCGGATTCTGTGTCTCTCTCTCCTTCTGACCCTCTCCTGCTCATGCTGTCTCTATCTCTCTCTCAAAAATAAAACATTAAAAAATTTTTTAAAAAAATAAATAAAAGAAAAATAACAAGTGCTGGCAAGGTGGGAAGAAAATGGAACCCTCCTGTATTGGGAATGTGAAACGGTGTGAAAAAGTTTGGTGGTTCCTCACAAGGTAAACAGAATGACCGTACGATCCAGCAGTTCTACTTCCAGAAGTAAAAGCAGGAACGCACATATAAACTTGTACACTGATTTTCACGGCATCATTTTTCACAATAGCTGAAAGGTGCAAACCACCCAAGACTCCATCAAAATATGAAGAGATAAACAAAATGTGTTATATACATGCAGTGGAATGCTATTCAACTCTGAAAGGTAATACAGTTCTGACACATGCTACAATATGGATGAACCTCACCAACATTAAGCCGGGTGCAATAAGCCAGTCACAAAAGGACAAATACTGTAGGATTCCGTGTATTTGAAGTACCCAGAATAATTAATAGAGATAGAAAATAGAATAGAGGTTACCAGGGGCTGGAGAGACAAGCAAACGGGGAGTTACTGTTCAACGGGTACAGAGTTTTTATTGGAGATAATGAAAAAGTCCTGGAGCTGGATTATGATGCCAGTTGCACAACACTGTGAATGTGCTTGAATGCCACTGAGCTATTTACTTTAAAATGGTTAAAACGGCCAATTTTAGGTCATGGATAGTTTACCTCAATAAGAAAAAACAGCTGAAGTCTGATGTGGGAGTGTAAAACGGAACAGTCATTTTGGAGAATTGTTGGGTGGTATTTACTGAAGCTAAATCTACACATTCCCCAGACCCAGCAATTCCCTTTTGCGGTAGAGACCCAACAAAAATACATTCACCGGAAGGTATGTGTTACAATGTTCACAGCAGCAGTTTCTAATAGTGAAAAACTGGAAACAGCCCAAAGATCCATCAGGGGAAAACAGACACAAACACCACAGTATATTCACATAATGAAATCAACCACAAGGACCGACAGCAACATGGGTGAATCTCACAAACATAAAGGCTGAATGACAGAGGCAAGATATAAGAGAGGACATAGGTATGATCACATTGACATGAGGTTCAAAAACAGGCACAAGCAACCTAGGTGAAAGAAGTTAAGACATTGGTCATCTTTTGGAGTGAGGGGTCAGTGAATGGAAGGGAAAAGAGGGGAGACTTAAAGGTATAGAGAGTTGCCTCCAACTCCCAGAGCCCGGTACAAGCTCCCTAGAACCCAAGAGCCCACAGAGAGAGGCAGGACCCAATTGGGGAAGGCTGGAATGTGCCTGTGACAAAGAGAGAAGAGGTTTAAAAATCAGACTGTCCCATTGGCAGTACCCCTACTGAGGAGTGGGGCTGTAAGAAATGCTTGGCCAGTAGGAGGAGAAAGTGGGATCTAGGCCTGAGTCGGCTCCAGAGGGCCATGGAAACCACCACACTCTCAGGTCACCTTTCAGGATGATCCTGACCTTTGCCTCCTACACACAGCTCAGTAGTCTCATCATCTGAGGAATTTGCTCTAGGGCTAAAATGACCAGGAATGAGATGTGGCAAAGGTTAAATCACCTTAACACAGAGCAACAGTTAAATAATCCATGGAGTGCTTACTCTATGGATTATTTCTCCAACTACGCAAAATGGTATTTATAGTAGAGTTTTTAAGTTATCTAGGAAGTGCTTACATTATAAAATGAAACACAGTAAGCAGAATGTAGAAAAACCTATATAATATATGCAACTATGCACATTTTAGAAGTTTGGAAGGGGACACCTATGTGGCTCAGTCAGTTAAGTCTCCAACTTTGGCTCACGTCACGATCTCACAGTTCATGAGTTCGAGCTCCTTATCAGGCTCTCTGCTGTCAGTGCAGAGCCTGCTTCAGATCCTGACTCCCTCTCTCTCTGCCCCTCCCCCAATCACACTCTCACAAACATTAAAATTTTTTAATTAAAAATTTTTAAATGTTTTATTTATTTCTGAGACAGAGAGAGACAGCGTGAGCAGGGGAGGGTCAGAAAGAGAGGGAGATACCGAATCTGAAACAGTCTTCAGGCTCTGAGCTGGCAGTCAGCACAGAGCCTGACATGGGGCTCAAACCCACAAATATGAGATCATGACCTGAGACGAAGTCGGACGCTTAACCGACTGAGCCACCCAGGTGCCCCCATTAATATTTTTTAAAATAATAAATTAAATTAGATACTGGAAGGAGGGGCACCTGACTGACTCATTCGGTAGAGTATGTGACTTTTTTTAAAAACCT